GCTTCTGAAAGCATTCACCTGCCAAATGAATTGTGTGAATTGGGGTGGGTTTTTAATTGTTTATCTGAATCCAGATAGACAGAATTCCAAAGAGAGACTTACCGTTGTAAGTTCTCTGGCATGTATAGGTCGGCAAGAACGTGGCTTTACGGGCTCCTCAAACTCACTGAATGTAAACCAACTGTTATACTGAAAGATAAGTAAACAACAAGGAGCAAGCAGCATTTACATTAGTGAGAAAGAGGCAGCTTTAAAACAACAACAAATCACTGAAGACGAAATAAGGATCATGAAAGGGAACTAACTTGATCAATTGCAATCAACACTGGTACATCTTTCACGAGTGAGAGTTCTTTCCTAAGTCTCACCACCACATTAACAGCTGCATGCGTGCTCTTAATCCCCATTTGCACAAGGTCATACAGAGTTGAATCCTCTGGAATCGGCATAGTATTTGTTCCTTTCAAGTATCCTACACCCGCACCTTCTCCAAGCACAATGGGGTCGTAAATGTGGCACCGTAACTGTTTTAGGCAGGAATCATTGAACTTGACAAAATCCTACAGAAATAAAAGTTCATTAAGAAATACTCTTCACTAACAAGAATTCCATTCTCAAAAAGAGGAGGCACGTGAAATCTTGCCTTGAGAATACTCTCAGCTTGTAGAGGAGTGTCCCAAAAACCTGTATGTGGATTCTTATAGAAGTAGCCTCCATGAGTCCAGTCACGACCTTTCGGTGCATATAAAACTAACCAGCCTTCTTCACGTGCCCAGTGAACAAGCATCGCCAGAGCAATACTCTTTCCACATTTAACAGGACCATCCAAGACAATCTGTTTCTTAAGTTTGACACCTTTTCAAAACAAAGTAGGCAATGATTAAGAAACCTATGGGTGTTACAAATGACAAGGTAAAACATAACTTCTAACCATTAGAAGAGATCACACTAATCTTATTCTTACGAAATCAACATAAAGGAACCAAAAAAAGAAGAAGAACACACCTTTACTGTCACTTGGCCGCATGGGATGATCAGCAATGCGTCTGAAATTATCTCTCAGAGCTAAGAAACTTTTTCTCACAAGCAAAGCAGGTCTCCACGATTCCTTAAACTCATCTTCAATCCCTGAAGCTAATCCCTCCGGCAAAACTGCTTTCAATGCTGCCTCACTATCAAATCGCAACATTATACAATAAACATCAAACACACACAAAAATTCTGAAAAACATAAACAGAAGATCAGATAGAATAAGAGAAGAGAGAAGTTTAGATACTCGAATTTGAAGTAGGAGCCAATATCCTTGTGACATAGCTGCGAAAGGGTAATATCTGTGGGAGTAAAGAGAGGTCGTCCATTAGGACCTACATCTAGGGACGGAATCTTCTCATCATCAGCTAGCCTCTTGGCACGACCCGCCTCGAGATCATCACCACCGGCGGCTCCGAACTCACCGTCTTCAGCTCCGGCGGCACCAGGATCGCCGCCTTTGGGTTTTGATTTTTTGCCTTCAGCTTTCTTCGTCTTGGTAATGGAAGATTTCGTGCTCTTCGAAGATGAGAAGCAGCGAAGAACATGATCTAAACTCGGGACAAGTGTTCCCACGGCGGCTGAAGTCGGCGCCGGAAAATGAGAAACGGAATCGTTTAGAATCCATGAACTCCGATTGGATTTGAGATTCCCGGCGGCGATTCTTACGACGGACTTCCACATTTCCACGGTTTCGTCTCTCTCACTCTCTCGTCACCGTCAAGGTTTTAGGGAGGGGATCTGAAGAAACAACGAAAGGGGCTGAAGCAGCAGCGAGAAAATGGCAAATTCGTAATTTTCGAAATGAAACACTGAATGGGCCAAAAGTGTAACGTGTTTGGGATTACAAGACTAGGCCCATTAACTTAAAATGATGACGTCATGTCTCCATTTTTTGTTTAATCTTAAAAAGTTACCAAATTTAAATTAAAAACTTACGTAATTTAAATTATGGATGGACCAATAGCAAGTTGCATCCAATTATTATGGGGGCCAATAGAATGATGAAATTTGTCGAATTGTGAAATTTAAAATTAAAATTGGTTGGAATTGAATATAATACTTTCCTAAAGTGGGGGAAAATAAGGAAAATGAAAGCAAGAGAGATGGCGATCCATCGTTGAAGATAATAAGAAAGAAGAAGACAGATTATTATTATTAATTTTTTCTTTTTTTATTGTCCTCTCATGGCGGATAACACGAGAACTGTCCAGAA